TAGGTCTGTCTTTAGGGACACAGCCTTGACGACGCATGATTCTGCTTAGTGATCACTGTACAGTCAGCAGAGACGGTGTACAGCTGCTCATGTCTGCTGAACTCAGAGTCTAGTCAGCTTTCTGTGACATCACAGGACGGTTCAGCGGCATCTGTGGTGACTGTCTGAGACACATTAAGGTGATCAGATGGGATCAGAGGTTTAAGCCGACTCATTTAACCTTTATTTACGATTAACTGTAAGTATATTTAAGAGATTGCAGACATTTTGAACAACTGTTTTCATTAGCACCCTTGTATATTTTCCCTCAATTTCTGTTTAACAGAGAGATGTTTTCAGCACATTTCTAACACATAATAGTTTTAATAACTCATTTCCAATAACTGATTTATTTAATCTTTGTCATGATGACAGTACATAATGTTTGACTAGATATTTTCAAGACACTTTCTATTCAGCTTAACGTGACATTCAAAGGCTTAACTAGGTTAATTAAGCAAGTCATTACGATGGTTTGTTTCAGTAGACAATCAAAACAAATACTGCTTAAGGGGGCTAATAATTTTGACCTTAAATGTTTTTAAATAAATTAAAAACTGCTTTTATTGTATTTGAACTTGAGACTTTCTCCAGAAGAAAAAACATTATCAGACATACTGTGAAAATTTCCTTGCTCTGTTAAACATCGTTTGGGAAATATTTGAAAAAGAAAATTCAAAGGAGGGCGAATCAATTCAATTGTATGTATATACAGTGCACAGCATATATGAGTACTGAATGGTCATGGTTTCTGTTTTTGTATATTTCAGTTCTGTGTTTTCATATCACTTACTTTTCACCTTAGTTTACCCTTATTTTGTTCATCTTTAAGTTAATCGTCTCCACCCCCTTGTCAGCTTGTTTAGTTAATGGGGTATATGCTGAAGCATGCTAATAGGACTTTTAATTTGTCAGTAACCTGGGTTAAGTGCTTCCGGTGAACTGTTTGCCATTGCAAAATCGGCGCGTTTAAGGTCTGTTTTCTTGAAAAATCTGCGATTTCCATGGCCTGAGTGATATCCGATATAAAGTGGGTCTCAGATTGTACAAGAAGCACTGCATTAAATTACATTTCCCCCCCGCCATGTCTTTATAATATGAGCATCTATTTTACTCCAGTATATTTATTGGAGCTTCTGCGCTAACCTGCCGATTCTGACAAGCGCATGCGAGCAAACGGCTTTTCGTCTCGTTTTACGCTTAAGCAACTAAATGAATGCCAGATTCTATTTAACGGATTGTATTTTAACTACATTACTACATCAATGCTGTAAAAGGTATTGTTTAAAATGGAAAAAAAAAAAACTAACAATAACAGGTAACCAGAAGTTTATCAGCATGGGAACAGCACTAGCTCAGCATATACCCTATTGTTTCCATGTGTATTTATTCCCTGTTCTGTAAGCACTTTATTGTCATAAGTTTTTTTATGCCACTCCCATGATGTCTGCAAGTTTTAATTGTTGTTTAAGTTTGTATAAATAAATAAATAAATAAATTAATTAATTAAATAAATACATTTCTCAGTGAATAAAGATGATATATTTTGATGCATTTAAACAAACCCAGTTAATAAACAGTTATATTTATTAAAATAAGAGTTTGGTCACCGAAATAGAAAGAGAATACATTTTAATTCAAATGAGTTAAAAAAATACAAACTACAAAAGTCTGTTTTTCTTGACTTGTCCTGTTTTTTTACATTTTATTTCATATTAATTAGGATGTACTCATTTTTGGACTGATCTTAAGTTATTTTGTTCATTTAGTTCCAGTTTTGGCTTTGGCACTGACTAATCTAACGTATATGCGTCACGATGACCAGCGATCCAGACCTGTAGATCGCTGGGCATCATTCACTTTTACCCGGACTACAATCCATCACCAATTTGGACTACAAATCCAGTTATGCACCTCACACGCACCTGTTCTTGTTTTCTGTTGATTACACACAGACACACACACACAGCACGCACACACACATACACACACACACATTACTGGGCTGAGTCTTGATCACTGTATTGTAGCATTACGAATAGTTCTCCTATCTAGTCATTCCGCCATATCTAGTGATTCTCTGTAACATCCACTCACCTGCTTTTTTACTACGATAATGAATTACCTGTATGCTACAGTTTTACTATTCTCTGTTAATAAAACCTACTCCGTTGTCAGCGCCATTAAGTTACAATATGCACAAATGTATTATTGTAAAGCATCTAATAGAAAATATGAATTTATAAGAGAGATCTGTGCAGGGTGTACTTATTTATGGTTTCCATATTTAATTTAAGTAATTTTTCTCTTCATCATAAATCTCCATGTTATAATATTAAAAATTAAAAAATTAAAGTTAAAAATAACAAGAAATTGATTAATAAAACACGTCAAAATGCAATTAATAATATACTGAAATAATAAAAGTACAAGATAAGCAAAATGTATTATTAATCGTTATATTACAGCGGTTAGCAGTGTTAGCAGAATAATTGGTGGTTCATTCCATGGTGGTGACCCCTGATAAATCCGGGACTAAGCTGAAGGAAAGTAAATGAGTGTTATAGTACTATTTTACATAATTTAAACAATCTAAATATAGGAAAATTAACAATAATAAAAACGGCAACAAAAAAAAAGACTTAAAATATAGTACATCTGATTTATTTTGAAATATTTTGATTTATTTACAAGTAAATTAACACTAGAAATCATAAAAAGAAAACAAATTACTAGGAGTTATTTAAAAAAATAACATTAAATAACTAAAAAAAAAAAAAAAAAATATATATATATATATATATATATATATATATATATATATATATATATATATATATATATATATATATATTCTAAATCATTAAAAATAATTGCTTGAATAATATTTGCAGCAATAATATATACAAAAATTGCTCCAAATTACCTCCAAGTGATCAAAACATTAAGACACCGTTAAACCTGAATGCTCCTGAGATTTTTCTGAATGAACTGTTAATCTCCCAAATGCCAATCCTTGAATTACGAAGCTTAAAAAGGCCTGAAGTGCCAGCGTCACCCGGTGAAGTTGGGAAACACTGGGGTTATATATGGAGGAAGCGTTTATAGGGTCAATCCTGTAACACCAACTGTGCAAGGAGTCTTAAATTTCTGGAAAAGTCTCCGACACACTTTAAACTCTAATTTTAATGTATTTTTTTAGTTCTGGGTAAAGATTAATCACAATTAATTACATCCAAAATAAAAGTTTGTATTGTGTGTGTGCATTATATACATGTAAAACACACATAAATTAAAAACAAAACTATAGTTATTTTGCATAGATATTTCATGCATTCATATTGTGTTCGGCTTAGTCCCTTTATAAATCAGGGGTCACCACAGCGGAATGAACCGCCAACTTATCCAGCATATGTTTTATGCAGCTAATACCCTTCCAGCCGCAACCCAACAATGGGAAACACCAATACACTCTTACCTTTACACACATACACTACGGCCAATTTAGTTTATTCAACTCACTTATAGTGCATGTTTTTGGACACGAGCATGGGGAGAACATGCAAACTCCACACAGAAATGCCCACTGACCCAGTCGGGACTCAAACCAGTGACTTTCTTGCTGTAAAGCGATTGTGCTAACCACTGCGCCACCGTGCTCCATAGATATGGACATTTATAAATAATTTAAATCCAATATATTCATATTTATTATGTATGATCTTTACAAAGAGATTTTAAAGCATTGCATGGTGTCGCACCAAACGAGAAGAGCCACTGCATCATGACGAATCTTTTAAATTTCTAAACATTATCGATGTTTCCATGCAAGTTTGCAAGTTAAACTTATTAAAATATTTGTAATTTAATCACCTTTTCCATCCAATGAGTCAACGAAAAATAAAATTGTTCCTTACTGATAAACTGAAGGTAAATATCAAAAGTAATTTGCTTCAGTAGGAGAAGTCACTGTGAACCTTTTTTATGTGTAATAAATTCTTTGTTCCTCTGAAGATGAAATGCAATGTGATGGCTTTTGGAGGTGTGAGACACTCTTTGAAAGCACAGATGCACAAAACAGTTCTGTAGCTAATAATAATATAATAATACTGAACCACTTTGATGACAGACTTTGGCTGAGGGATTTAAGAATGACCAAAACAATACTTCAGATGTTTTACAATGTGGTCAGTCTGCTGGTTTGTCTATTAATCCCATCCTGGCTCTAAATAGGAGATTTCCCAATTCTTAGATTTGTGCATGTATGTGTGTATATAATAAATAAACACGGCACACATATATGATATTTAAAAACAGACATTAATTCTGGATGCGATTGATCATGTTTTTTTTTTAAGTTTCAATTATAATAATATAATAATAATTTTCAGCTGCATTTAGGAAATAATTTAAGTACTTTGCTCAAATACTTTTGCACAATTCTGTTGGAATATATTCATTTCCAAAAGCTACACTATAATAATCACAAGTTTAATTCTTTCAGTCCACGCTTACACTTTATTTTAAGAAGCCCTTGCTCCAGTGTAACCCTTTATTTAGCTAATAAGAAGCATTAAATTAAGCATAATTTAAGCATTAAACTAAGCATAATTAATTGTAATTACCATAGCACGTACAGGAAAAATGTGTAACACCTGAAAATAAAGCATTATCCAAACCCAGTCCACTTAAAGAGACAGTTCACCCAAAACTGACAATTCTGTCACCATTTACTTGTTATATATACATCTATAGTATTTGTTTTCCCCACTATGGAAGTCAATGGTTACAGGTTTCCAACATTCTCCAAAATATTTTCTTTTGTGTTCAACAGAAACTTAAACAGGTTTGGAACAAATAAAAAGTGAGTAAATGCTGGCAGAATCTTCATTTATGGGTGAACTATCTCTTTAAGAAAAGCTCTAACAGCAAATAAGCATCAGAAGTAAATGAGTACTCACGATCCAAGAACATCCATGAAGTCAAACACATCCTGGATGTTATCCGTGCTCTTTTTCCATTCATATTCGCCCTCCTTTCGGCCCATTTCTGCGTGAGCTTCAACAGGGATTTCTGGAGATGAATAAACAAAACAGAAAACATAACAATTACATTTAAAATAAAGAACAAAGCCTTATGCAAGAAGACAAGTGAAAATACCTTTGCTTGCAGCTAAAATAACCCTTAATATTCCAGGAGCTATGTGTTCGGATTTCTAGTCTGAATCCAAATCAAATTCCGAGTCAATAGGAAACATTAAAAATGGTTTGCATTGTTTAATCCTCCATTGATAAAGCAGAATGTCTTTGATAAAGTGTCATGTTTGAGAGTCAGTCGACGGCTTTACTCTTGACTGAGCTTCACTTGAGCGGGCTCTGGCCTGTTTAAACATCACGCCGCTTCTCATTGGCTGTCCTACATGGATTAAAGAAGGCTGTCAGAAAAGGCTAATCAGGTTTTGGCTGGTCAATGCACAGACAGGAACTGCGTCGATGCTTAATGGAGTTTGGCTGACTCTTGAGGTTATTTTGTGACTTTTTGAAACATTCAATTAATTGGCAATTAATTATCTGGTTGTAATTTATCAGCACTGATAGGCTATTTAATTTAATTTTGGCCACATATGGATAAACCCAATTGTTGGGTTACAAATATAATTGAAAATCTAAGCTATTATTTGGGCTTGCATAGACATGACACCAATTTAAGTTTAAACAACCATGCTTTATCTTTTTTAGCACTCTTGAGGAGTATGATAGCATGTCTTTGTGCCCCTGGAAGTATTGCTTCATATATGGAATTTAGAATGTAACAGTTTAGAAAGTAACTAAATGATGAAAGTACAGAATTTAGAATGTACCAAAATTTGGAAGGTAACAGAATTCACAATGTAACAGAATTTGGAATGTAACAGAATTTACAATGTAACAGAATTACGAAAATGTCGAATTCAGAAAGTAACAGAATTTAGAAAGTACAGAAATTAGAATGTAAAAGAATTCAGAAAGTGCAGAATTTAGAAATGTAATAATTTAGAATGTTCATCATTTAGGGGCAGATCACAACAAACTAGAGCTGCACAATTAATCGTAAAAAGATTGCGATCTTGTGAAAATGAAACTGAGAGAGCACACAGTGTTGCGTGATGTAGCTGACTGATTCCAGCCAAAAAGTATCCAAAACCCGCCTAAATGCAATGACCAGGACAAATCTAAAGTCTGTTCAAAGTCCACCATTCCAAGTCTATAAAAAAATTAGTATTTTAACCAACAGTACAGCTACACAAAGCCTATTGCTGTTTTACCACATGTTTGAGAATAACCATAATAATAGCTCACTCATATTAACCTTTATTTTATATCTAAGGTATCGTGAGAAAATCGTGATCTTTATTTTAGGCAAAAAAACCTGCGATTCTCATTTTAGCCAGAATCGTGTAGCTCTACACCAAACGCACTTTTTGCATTGATAGGCGTCTTATTGAAATGTTTTACCAACGGCCGCTATTGTTTTGTGCGCTGCTTATGCGCCCTGCTCGCCTCTCGTTTTTGCCATTGCGCGATGTGCTGCTGCAGTTGAATAAAGTCTCTGAGTGGAAAAGGCGAGTTATGTTAGTCACGTCTGTTTAATTCGCCAAACAAATGAAAGCAGTGGTGGGTTTCCTTTGAGGTGGCTGCAGTGTTTTTTTGAAGACGGAGAAGAGATTTGTTATTGGTGTTGACTCACAAATCTGAAATATAACAATATCATTAAATATTAAAATTATATTAATATCAACAGCAACACTCGCGCACAATACGCAGCTGATTCAGTCGTTGAATAGTGGCATAAAAAGCACATTGCGCTTCTTTTTTTCTTTCTAAAAAAAGGCAGTGAGATGCACCTTGCATTTTTGGAACGTAAAAGCACGTTCAATGTGATCAGCTGCTTAGAGTGTAACAGACTTTAGAAGACAACAGAACTTAGAATGCAACAGAATTTAGAATGTAACAGAATTTAGAAAGTGCAGAATTACACAAGTACAGAGTTAAAAATATAACAGAATTATGAAACTGCAACTGAATTTAGCAAGTACAGAATTTAGCAAGTACAGAATTAAAAAGTACAGAATTCTGAATGTAGAGTATGAAGGTTACAGAGACAGAATTACGAAAGTGCTGATTTTAAAAAAAGAACCAAAATTTAGAAAATACACAATTGCAAAGCAAGGATTTTTGAATGTAACAGAATTTAGAAATTACATAATTCAGATTCAGATTCAGATTCAATTTATTTGTCACTACACTTTCGTATAGCGAGATTGGACCCCCCAGACCATTTAGAATTTAGAATGTAAAAGAATTTAAAACATACAAAATTTACAATGCAACAGAATTTAGAAAGTAGCAGAATTTGGAAAGTATATAGAATGTAATAAGTATTAAAAAAGTGCAGAACTCGTAATGTAACAGAATTTAGAAAGTGAACTTTGTGTTCATTTTAAAAATATACATTTATTTACACAAATGTTAGGTTTGGATTTGACCCAGCGTTGGTTTAGTCCAACCCATCATTTTTAAAAGTTTAAAAGTAAAATGGTGGAAGTGTAGAGATGGTTAAATGCATCCAATCAGAAATGCAAAACTTCAATCATTCAAACCATCACGTGCCTCAACATTTCTAATATGAATATATTTGTTAAAGTAAGTTTCTTTAACTAAACACCTCCAAAAACTGAACTTGTTTGATTCAAACTAATCAACAGCACAGTCAAACAACAGAAACATCCTTTTTCTATGTGTCTATTGTGTTCATTCCAAAGAATCTTTATATAAGGCGGTCAAAAATAAATACAATCAAATCAGATTAATCTTCAACATAAAAAGACTTGGATTAACAGCAGTATTGTGGTAGGTTAAGAGCAGTGCTAAATCTTGTTCTGCTTATATAACAGGTTAAAGACTCTGATCTTCTGAGTTGACCTTAAACCAGTTCACTACCTCGGTTCAAGAGGTCACCTGAATTTATTCATTCAGTAGCCTGAAATCCTGCATTCATTTGACACACTAAAATATTACATTGATTATTACTCTGTACAGCGATGTGCTAAAAACACTACGATTATTTCAGAGACTATTAGCAGATCACTAATAGACTTCTTAATTCAGAAATTAGGTAACCCGAAGAGAAAAGGAACATCCGATTAACCGGCATGAATGGACTTAACAAACACCGGGACTTATGTGAAGCTGTGTGGTTACATGGAGTCATTATTGTCACTGTCGTCACAAAAAAGTACTCTTGCACAACTGTGATAGATAAAAAAATAAATAAATAAATACATCCAAAAATTATAAATGTTATATCAATATCTAATTTAATATTGTTTCTATAATATTTAATTTATATAATATGCGTTTGTAATATTATATATACTTTAATATTAAATCTGATATGCATGAAACAATATATAAAAAAAGTTAAACAAAGTTATAATACTTGTATATCAATATAATAAATTCATAAAAACATTACTCATTCATTTTCCTTCGGCTTAGATCCTTATTTATCTGGGGTCACCACAGTGGAATGAACTGCCAACTATTCCAGCATATGTTTCACGCAGCCCTTCCAGCTGCAACCCAGTGCTGGGAAACTTTAAAAAAATATACACAGGAATAATACTAAATAATAATATAATAATAATGCAATATATTTAAGTAAAAACTATTGATGATTAAAAACAAACTTTTAATTTGAATAAGAGTAAACAATAAAGTAAAAAAAATAAATGCATTAAAAATTACAATTACAATATTTAAATGAAGATACACATTACAAATATTGTCTGTATTATATATGTGTAAATAACATGATACACATAATTTAACAAATGATAACAATAAATTATTTTAAAAAAGCATACATTTTTTTATTAATATTTTTAAATATTTAAAATAAATTTAACTAAATATATAATATAATTATGAAAATTTATGATACAATACAATGCACTGGGCATGGAACAATAACCAATTTCCAGGTTTACCTCAGTTCGGTATGTTATATGTTATGGTGTGTGATGAGGTATATGTACATTTTTTAAAGTGTTTTTTTTTCATGTATTGTAAAGAAATCTGTGTTTTTGAAACTAATGAAGATAGCAGAAGTCAATGATTTATTTATAACCATTTAGCCTGACATGTTTACTGTTCCAAAATATTAAAAATGTTTCCTAAAATGTAATATATCGTGTTAAATGGGGGAAAAAGTTGTTGTTTTTTACTAAGACATTTAAAAAGAACTTATTTTAGAGCAGTAATCATAATACCATATGGGAATCCATGACATTTTAGACTATTTTAAGGGATATCAACAACAATGGTTCCAATGCATTTCCTATTTTACATTATTAATTTCTATAGCTTCCGAGAATCCAAAAAGAGCCACATATTGTTAAATAATGTTATGATAGCTGATTTAACACTAAGATATGACCATACCTGTCAGCCCTCCCATTTTTCCCGGGATTCTTCCATATTTTACAGTTCTATCCTGCTTTCATCCTGTAAAGGTATTTCCCAATATTTCTCCTGTTTTTTAGTCTTTCTCTGAAGAGCGTCAATAAACATTAAAGAGGCGACCCTTCCAATACGCAACCCACCGCCGAACCACCAGGGGCCGCCCCTTGCTCTTAAATGTAAGTCTGTTCTGTGCTTTTGTTTTATTTAGGCATGAAAACACTTTGAATTAAATATAAAACAGCGGGATTCCCGTTCTGTTTCATTTCAGGTGCTGTCGCCCCTCCTATGCAATCCTCAAAACAGTCATGTAGCAGTGCGTGACTGTCAGCTGAGCTCCATAGTGATAAATAGACACAGTTTCCCAAACAGATTCTGTACACGTGATTCGAAAGTCTGGGTTTTGGGTGCTTGTTTGAACAGATATATACACATAATTAATAATAATAACATCTAAAGATGTCGATCTTGGTGTTTTTTAGTTTTTTTTAAACAACAAATTTTGTTCTACATGAGCATAAAAAGTTAGTAAAGCAATCAAATGCTTTTATTATAGCGTTATTATAATGGATTTTTAAAGTGACCTCTGTTATTTAATGTAATCAAATGAAAAATCCAAAATGAGAGATCAAAATTTGTAAGTTATACAGAGAAGATAATGAGATTTAATAACTTGATTCTATTTCTTTATAATAGCTATTCATTTTAATAAGTAAACTGTTTACTAATGTATTTGCTGCTATTGCTCATTTTTTCTTTTGTAAATAATAATAATAAAAAAACATATTACTGACCGCTTAACTGTTTATATACAACGAAACAGCTCCAGATGAACATATTTAGTCTTTTTTTT